AACACTCAGGCCTCTATCTCGCGCAGCCCTCAACCTTAGCACACTGCGCAAAGACCTCTACAGACATCTGTCCCTTAGGAATGGGTGCCACAACGCTATGCTCACTGCAGGGAGGGGTTGGTCTTTTTGTGATAGGAATCTAATTTTCTTTTCACTGAGAAATTTAACAATAAGAATTTAACACTTAGAAGTAACCTCAATAATCTGTGGTATGTTGTTGTGAGCTTTTGCCTTCATTAATAGGACAGCTGCAGAGTGAACAGAAGCGGGAAGAGAGAGAGAGGACCCTCGACACCAGCAAATGGCAACTAACACAGTCCACTCGGTCGAGGCCTTTCCCCACCTGGCTTTCGCCGCCGCGTGCGGCCTGAAAAAACCTATCTATTCCTGTTGTCTGAAGGCCCTTCGCTTTGCCGTGTAAAATACACCACCAAATATGCCTTTGAGCTCCCTCCAGGTCCAGACTACACTAATAAAGGAAGAGAGAAATGCAGATCAGGTAAGGCTATTAACAAAAACTACACACTAAGTAAACGCTGGAAGCGCATACACTATCAGCTGAATTTAATAGTGCCATCGTTGTAGTTTTGATGCCTAGAGACATATCTCAATCTACATCTCAAATGGTATGCCAGAACCAGAGCTGAAGAAGGAGCCACAGGACAAGAGTAAATCTTTGTCATTGGTCAGAGCTTTGTGAATTAAAAGGTTGCAGACAGATGCCGAGCTGGCTTTCTTGCTATGTCTTGTGTTGTTGCACTTGCTCGACTCGCTGTATGCTGATGCTCAACCTTAAATTCATACCTTAAATTAGCTACTGCCATGGCCCAAGTGAAATTTACTGTGAGTGAGTTGATCAAGTGAAAAACACAACGAGTCAGCAACGTCATGGTCACGCAAATCGGCCACATTAAAAATCCAAATCAATTTGAATCCGTGGCCAGTTTTTGTATTCCCTATTTTGGATTTGAGCATAAAATCTAAAGTATGAAAAATAAGCTGTTACCTGGTTTTTGTGTTGGATAAATAAACAACAAAAATTGTTGCTGTTGTTTGATATTTTTTGTGAGCTTTTGCCTTCATTAGATAGGACAGCTGCAGAGTGACAGGACAGGGGGAAGATAGAGAGAGAGGATGACACACAGCAAATGTCAACTGGTCAAACTCGAACCCTGTTAAGTTATACGTAATATAACATAGTGGACACAGGAAATTATATTTAACTTCTTCATGCAGTGTCCAATAATTATTAAATGTCAATAAACCTCCAGTAAATATATTGCTACTTTAATAATTTACTTTAATTGCCCTACTGGCAACAGGCAGTGAAGCCTAGGTAACACAGTTAATCACATCTATACAAAATCTCCAACATGTCTTGCTCCAGCGCCACATACTCCACACAGGAAATAATATTTTATTCATTAACACAGTGTCTCATGCTTCTGAAAATTATGAAAATTAATTTAACGCTGCTTGACGCTTTAATTGTTAATTGTATTTTAAATTTTACATTACTTATATTTTGTACTAATATTGCTTAGATTCTGTAGTTTTTATGGCTTCTTGTCTCATTTATTCTTTATAAATATGTATGATTCTTAAACAGAATTGCACCATTTGAGGTTGATGCCATTGAAATTTTGTTGTGCTTGCACAATGACAATAAAGTTCTTTATTCTTAAATCCTGAGAGTCCCATGTACAGAATCTATCGTAAAAAACCTCAAACTTTGTCCATATATACCTGGACAATCAACACAAGAGTTAGTTCCAACAATCCACCAAGCCGTTATGTCCAAACCTACATTAATTTCCATTTCTATAGATGCCTGTGTAGCCTTACTGGAATTATTGAGAGAAGAGAACAACAGGTATTAATGCAATAGCCTGACAATGACTGAATATTGTACTTCTTCATCTTGACCAGCCTAATTTCCTACATGGGATAATAAAGTTGGCCTTTACCTATACAGTCTGGATGTGTCTAGTAATAGCCACTCAGGAGATTTGTAGAAAGAGGAAAATGACGACACTGTGGTGAGAAAGGTTTAATTTGCCCTCACTCTACATGTGCTCTAGTCGCTCCTATAAAGTCTCCATGCACAGCCCTCACTCAGAACACTGCATAGACCTCTACAGACAACATCTGTCTTTGGAATGTGTGGGCCACAACGCTATGCTACTGCAGGAAAGGGTTTGGTCTTTTTGTGATAGGAATCTAATTTTCTTTTCACTGAGACATTTAACAATAAGAATTTAACACTTGGAAGTACCTCAATAATCTGTGTATTTGTTTAGAAAAGTGATGGCTGATAACAACTCATCGGTTGGTGGTGAGGTCTCAC